TCCCTACAGACCGAAAGGGAAACGTCCTAACCCTACAGTGGAGAACGTGGGTGACACCTGAACCAGGTGATCAGAACTAACACTGGGAGTGAGAGGCAGAAGACTTCGTGTGCTTTCAAGAGTGACACTGAAAATGACACAACCTTACACCACGTATTCTGGCTCTGAGTGCATTCAGACCCTAAATCTAATGACAAAGAACTATCAGACAAGCCCAAACTGATTGACAGTTGATAAAACAACTGCTCTATACTCTTTAAAATGTCAGTTTTATAAAAGACAAAAGGCAGACTGAGGAACTATTCCAAATTAAAGAAACATGACAGCTAAATCCAATATGGGATTTAGGACTGGATCTTTAACCAAAAGAAAAAAATGTGCTAAAAGGTACTTAACTATAATAGTATTTTAAAAACAGTACTTCATTAATATTAAGTTCCTAAATCTGACCACTATACTGTGGTCACCAAGGAGATCATCCTTGCTGTTAGGATGACTGATACACTGAAATATTAAAGGACAAAGGGGCACAATGTGTTAACTGTCTACTAAGACAGACTTCAGAAAAACCACATGTGGAAATGTGTGAAAGACAGCAAAATTTAGTGCCATGGCAAGTAAAAACTGCAGCCCAAGTAATCATGTACCGGAATAGCACCGAAAGTACAGATCAGAATACAATGGAATTTTATTTTAAAATATCACTAATAAAATATTAGAAGAAAGAGAATTAAATTTATTAACTGAAATGAAACACTAGTCATTCATATTTGCCTTACTCTCAAGAACTGAGCAATATTTTAAGGGCTGAAAATACTAACTCTGTATACTGAAAACGGATCTCTGAACTGTGTCTAAGCAAAGAGAACTGAGATGTGGAATATTAAAAATGTTAGCTGGATATTAAGGGAAATGGAGGGCCCAGTCATGACAATGGGAACAACTAAGCAGCACAACAGAACTGAACTAAGTGGTTTAGAATATCATATCCCTAGGATTCTATAGTGTAAGTGACCATTCATACAGTCCTAGTTCCTGATAAAATCTGAAAAATAACGGAGGAATTTTTTTCCCCTTACAATGGAGAGAGAGAGAAGAACTCTAATCAAAAGCACTTGCTGCTAAAAATTAAACATTTTAAAATAGTTACTTACGCTTCATCAATGTTGGGATGGAAAATTTTATTCATGAATCCTGTAAAAAGAGATGTTGATTAGCAGCAAAAAGTATCCAGAGAACAATTAGTTTTAAAGTATTTCAGTACTGGAAATAAATTCACTATTGGAAAAAGGTGATTAATACTCATGTATTGTTACTTTCAAACTTAGTTTGAAAATCTTTGGCTATTGATAAGACTATTTTTCTGATTTAAATTTTTCCAATTATGCAAAACACACCAGAGTTCTATTAACAAACATGCAAACTTTAGGAGCAGTGTAGCTTTTTATACAAATAATCATTAAAGCAATTTCTGGGCTATGAAAGTACTCACCATAAGACAATTTAGGATATAAATGATTAATAACCACTGTCACCGTAAAAGTTAAGAAACTTCATTCTGACTCCCCCTCCTTAAAGTTGTATTGTTCAAGCTCTAACTCTGGAGGTTCTGCATTTGAACTTCTCCCTCTGAAGCTCATTTACTGGTATCATTTTGTATCAGGTGCGGAACATGAATGAAGCTGTTGAAATGACAAATGAATGCTTCCCCACGAAGTGTTTCATAAGAACAGTGACTAAAATGTTTCCTTTAACTTTAATCTACTCATTCAAGAAAACTGAGTTTTGATTAAAATTGGGTCAACCAAGAAAGAAGGCAAGGAGTTAAGATGGTATACTGGAGATTTAAATTTTAGGATTTTTCCAAGAAAGACAAGTAGAGACTTCAACGAATGTTTTGCTATTTAATTACAAAGAGAAATTATTTTCTTTACCTTAAAACCAGTGATTTAATCAGTGTGTGGATGCAGAAGACAATAAATTATAGAGTAGAGACCCAGTCTAAGCGGTCATGTTGTTACCCTTATCACCTCATTTCCTTTTAGGACTTCCATATCCCGCTCCACACTTTTGCTAGAAGTTCCTTACTAAAGGTGATCGCCACCATCACTGTGCCCCAAACCCAGGTATTCTCGCTCTCATTCACTCGAAACCTATTTGACCAGCACCTAATGTCAGGCTGTGTTGTTCGGGGTACAAACAGAAGACAGACAGCACACCATTCCTGAGGAGGTCACTGCAGCCATGGGGCAAAGGACCTGAGGAAATCATCGCCGTGTGTACCCAGCACTGACACGGGGAGGGAGCGTACATACAGGAAGGGGAAGAGGGTATGGAAGGACAGAAGTGCCATCAGAGGAGCTTCAAGTAAGTTGCTACAGAAATTGTCTCCAAAAAAATCTAAGAATCTTCCTTCAAATTAGAAAACAGTAGATGAGAATACAAAGTCTGGGTTGTGTATGTGGTATAGCAGTAATGTGCTGCTCAAGAGAAGCTGGATCTCACATGGTGACCGTTTGTATCCCTGGTCGAGTGGGCGTGAAACGCACTGGGCACATGCATGAGTGCCCCAGACCTTATGGACTAGAGGACTGGGCAGAGGAGGTTGCAGCATGACCAGATCCTGTGGGAGATGATTCGCTCCTTGCCTTGCTCCCCACTCCCTTCCTCTTTCTGGTTTTCATAATTTTTTTTTAAAGATTTACTATTTTTATTATTTTAAACAATTTTTCTGGAGAGGTTTTTGCTACAGGGTGTGTATGCGTGCCAGACAGACAGAGAGAGACATAGAGACAGAAAGCGAGAAATCACCCCCCAGGGAGGATGGTCACACCGCAATCCCTTCTCCTCCATTCTCCTCTCAGGATCTTGGGCACGCACGCACATGTGCCTGGTGTGAGTTTAAGCCACCAGGTCCGGGACTTGAACTGCAGTCAACTATATGGGAGTCCAGTGACATAGCCATTACACTAACTGCTGGTCCCTATTTTTAAAAATTTTGCTATAGGGAACATCCATTTACCAGAGGGAGGTGGGGAGTGGGAAAGCAAGCTGCCCGATTTGGGACTTGAACCATGGTTGGCCATGTGGGAGTCCAGCACCTTAACCACTATGCCACCTGCTGGACCCTCTTTTTCTCTTTTATGCTTATGTGTGCCTACATGAGGTCTATCATGAATAAAGAAGGACAAAAAAAAAAAGTAAAAAATCTCGAATATTCCAGTCTTAGATTGCTCTAGCTACTCCAAATACTAATCACACTTCTAATTTGTTGCTTAGAATTATTTAATTTTATTTATTTATTCATTCATTTATTTTAATTTGACCG